ATTTCATAAAGAAATCCCAGTGTAACATGACCATAGGTCATTGAAAGTCGTATACAGTCTTGTAAGACATAAAAGAAGAGATTTTACTCGTAAATACTACTTCTCTGCTAATGTGTAAAGTTTTCACTTTCTCCACTGTAACATCTTCTATAACAGTCACAGATAAGAAAATACATCCAGAGAGAGATCTTAATGCCTGCCTAAAGCTCCAACACAAAAGGATTTAGGAGTCAGCATACATAAATCACAAAAAGCTAGAATCCAATTTCAAAAAGAAATAGGGAAGGCCAGTTGGAACATTTCATTTCAAAGGGAGTGGAGTTCAAAAGTAGAGAAGTTGTATTAAACCTATACAAGGCATTAATCATGGAGTCATATAGCATGGAAACAGACCCTTTGGTCCAACTTGTCCATGCTGATTGGACATCCCAATCTGACCTAGTCCCATTTGTTAGCATTTGGCCTATATCCCTTTAAACTCTTCCTATTCATTTACCCATCCAGCTGTCTTTTAAATGTTGCAATTGTACCAGCCTCCACCATTTCGACTGGCAGCTCGTCCCATACACACACCACCTTCTGTGTAAGGTCAGGTCCTTTTTAAATCTTTCCCTTCTCACCTTAAACCCATGCCCTCTAGTTTTGGACTCCTGCACCCTAGGAAAAAGAATTTGGTGATTCACCCTATCCAGGCCCCTCATGATTTTATAAACCTCTATAAGATCACACCTCAGCCTCCAATGCTCCAGGGAAAAAAAAGCCCCAGTCTATTCAGCCTCTCCCTATAACTCAATCCTCCAATTCCAGCCACATTCTTGTAAATCTTTTCTGCACCCTCTCAAGTTTAACAACATCCTCCCTATAGAAGGGCAACCAGAATTGTACACAGTATTCTAAAAGCGGCCTCACCAATGTCCTGTACAGCCGCAACATGATTCCCATACTCAATGTTCTGACCAATAAAGGCAATCATGCCAAACACCTTCTTCATCATCCTGTCTACCTGCCACTGCACTTCCAAGGAATTATGCACCTGCACCCCTGGGTCTCAGACCACAGCTGAAATATAGTGAATGGTTTTGCTCCCCTTATCTCAGGAAAGATACGACGGCATTAGGGGTAGTCTAGAAAAGGTTCACTAGTTTGATCCAAGACATGGAGGAACTATCATGTGGAGAGTTGAGCTTGTACTCATTGGAGTTTAAAAGAGTTAGAGGTAACCATATCGAAGCATATAAGATTCTCTGGGGACTTATCAGAGTAGGTACAGAGAGGTTGTTGGAGAGACTGGGACTGGAGGGCAAAATCTCAGAGTGGTGGGATGCCCAGTTAAGACAGAGATGAGGAGGGATTTCTTCTCTGAGAGGTTCGTGGATTTTTGGAATTCTTTACCGCAAAGGGCTATAGAGGTTGGTTCATTCAAGTATATTCAAGGCTGACATAGATTTTTAGTATTGAGGAAATCAAAGGTTGTGGGAAAAAAGCAGGAAGTGTATTTGAGTATTAACTGATCAACTTTGGTGGAGCACATTGAATGGGTTGAACAGCCATCTTCCATTCCCAGCTTACTTTTCCTGACTAGCCCCTTAAAATACTACATCCACGTGACTGAACCAGACTGTTAGTAGCAGGAGGTTTCACTTTAAAAAAACAAATTAATTTGATTGTTTATTGAGAACAGACTGTCTGAAAGCCAATTCTCCCAGCTATCCTGCAGGGGACTCATTAAGTCAATTAAATTAGGTCTTTTGAGTTCTTGATACTTATTCCTTTAAAAACTATGATGGTGAATATTTGGAACAGACTTACAATGAAAGATCTTTGCGAATAATGTATACCTTTTAAAGAAAAGGATTGAATAAACACCTGTTGTAGGACAGGACTGGAGAGCACGAAGTGATGTGCAGGTAAACAGTGTGTAAAAGAATAACATAGTCCCTGAATTATCAGGCTGATAGCAATATTATACCCAGGAAACAAAACAAATGTGTGTCCCAGGATTAGACAGTCACTGCCTAGTTTAATTACCTTGGAAACAACCAGAGAAAACCTCTGCAAACTTTCTTTCGGGTTACATCGAGCTCATGATTAGGCAAGTTGTACATTGTCTGTAGCCTGGGAACTTGATCTCACTCCATACTCTTACCTACATATACATGTTGAGAAGTTTGTGAAAATTGTCACTGGTGTTAGTTATTATCAGTAACGCAGAAAGGAAATGATCAGTGTTCTGTACTGCAAACCCATATAATAAACCTTCTAACGATCAACAATTCAGAATAAAAAGAAAAACCCACATAGCCAATTTGCTATCCTTTCTTTTGCATTCCTGAATATGTCTGGTTGTTTTTTGTTGCGCTGTATGACATAAACCACAGAAAGTTGGAATGTTATGATCTCTCAGTAGATAATCAAATTGTCCTCCATCATCTGTAATTATGGCGTTGTGATAGCAAGTCATGAAATTTGAAAAGAAATACAGATGAATGAATAACCACAGAATTTAAGTTGTTTATCAGTTTCTCCACTGCATAATTTCTGCAAAGACAGGAATTTAAGTGAAATTTTTACACAAAAAAGCCCATATTTATTACCGCTGTTTTCTTGGTGCTATCATGTCAGTACAGAATGTTCCACTGCCCACGCATTAAGCCATTTCCATTGCAGGTTTCCAAGCTGTCATGACATGGCATTTTGGAATATATAGCTTGAGTCACAGCAATAAAGTTCTTTTTCTAAAAACCGATACTGAATCTGCGATGTCACAAGGTAATCACAAACGAGGAAGACCATGGTGTGAGAATCATGGTCACATCTCCAGGCAATTCAGACAACCTTGTCTGGTCAATTGCACATCTTTGAGATTGGTGATTTGTTTTGAGTCTTATGAATATCTGCCAAGGCAAAGTCAACATTCTTGATTCTTACAATTGCCTCGCTGGCATCAGACCAATTTTACTCCACCTCCTTCTTTTAGAAATATAGGTTCATAATTTCATCCATAAATTATTTTTAGCAAATTGACAAATTATGTTACAACTACAGGTTCATTAAAACTAACACATGGAGATTTTGTCATAGAGTCATAAATTTGTTACAGCACAAGAAGAAGGCCATTCAGCCTATTGTGCCTACCTAATCAGTTTCATTCCCTCACGCTCTGTGGGGAGCTATGGAAGTCAATTTCTCAGAAGTTGCTATTCTATTTCAATATTCAGTTTTGATATAAATTTTATTGTTTCATTGCCGATTAACATGCTGCTGAATATATAAATAGTATGCATCATCAGGTTAATGCCTGATACGTTATTTGGAGCAGTGTTGGTCAGCAGATAATATGTGGTATAAAATTATTCTACTAGAATCCTGTCATTATTCAACTAAGGACCCTGCATTTAGTTTATCGATGACCATTACAGTATTGGTTTGTTTATGTAAAGAGCCAATACACAATTCTTTCTGCTTGCACAAGCCTCAAGTGAAATGAATTCGAATTGAAATATCTCCAAGTTTCAGTTTATTTATTTTTCCTCTAATTATTGTTTCTAAAAACCTATCCACTTCTGGTATTTAACTGACTGCCACAGCTTTTTGGAAATAAGGGTGTCATATTTGCCAGTCTCCAGTCCTTTGGCACCTCCTTTGTATCTTGGGAAAGTCAGAAGATTATTACTAGAACTTCTATTAGCTCCATGTTCATTTCCTTGAACAAGCTGGGATACACACCATCTGGGCTAGGCAACTTATCCACTCTAAAACAAAACAGAAATTGCTGGCAAAACTCAGCAGGTCTAGTAGAATCTGTGGGGAGAAAGCAGAGTTAATGTTTCAGAATAGTTTTGATGAAGAGTTACCAAGTTTTGCCAGCAATTTATGTTTTTGTTTGAAATCTCCAGCATCCGCAGTTCTTTGTTTTATTTTACTATCCACTCTTAACATAGCCAAACTTTTCAGTATATCCTATGATCAGTTTTCACCACATCCATTGCCTCTACCATGTCCATTTTGGCAACATTTTGTTGGTGTGCTTTTCTTCAGTAAACTGCAATATAAAGTACTCTTCAAGCATTCTAGACTGCTCACTTTTTATGTGTAAATGATTTTCAGGTTCCTTTTTATGTTAATTCCATTCAATTCCCATATTCCCTTTTTGCCTGTCTTATCATCCTTTTTACTTTCTCTCTCAATTATTATTTTAGGCCAGGCTTTTGCTTAAAGAATTCACCCGACATGCATTATACACTCTTTTATCATATGCTATATCTCCCTTGATATCCAAGGAGCCCTGCCTATTTTTTACCCTACATTTCATCTTTGTTGAAATATAGCTAGCCTACATCTGAAACTTATCCTACCTAAAGCTCACCCACTGTTCTGTTGCAGGTTGGCCTGTTAGTCTTTGGTTCCATTTTATCTTGGTTTGAACCTTCTCATCTCATTGATGTTTGTCTCCTTTCAATTTAGAGGTTCTGCTGCAGACTGTCCCTTGATTGCCTCTGTTAATTATCTCAACCTAATGATACAATGATCTTTCTTCAGGTAATTATTCTCCCTTAAGACATTTGGGAAAATGGAGTCTATTCATATTGATCTCCTTTACAAAGTCCCTTTCCTAACTAGTGTCTTTAGAATTAATCCTCAGATGGCTGTGCCAATCCAAATGGTCACTAAATAAATCTTGCTGGTATTTTCTCGAAATAACATCTTAAACCACAGCATATTGTCCTGCATCAGACACACAATCTGCCCACCACATCCTGGGTAATCAAGATAATAGATGCTGAATCAATAGCCTTGCACAGTATTCTTTGCTTCTAGTTCTAAATCTTGTTCATTCAGACCTCAAAAATTCCTGGAATCCTGCAGACTACAGCATCATGCACAAAGACTTCGGTGGGGCTTTTATCCCTACCTACAATTTTAAATATCAGGAGCAGTACATAACCTTTAAGCAATGCATTCCAAGCAAACAATTAAGTTGTTTATTGTTATTCTCTTACCACATTGACATCCAACCATTCTTTCTGTGGGTCTGATTTGACGTTACTTAACTGGAAATGAGACAAAAGCAAATTAAACCTCCGGTAAACTGAGCATTTATTTATATGCCACCAAAGCAGTAGGAAATTTCCTTCCCTAATTGAAATGAAGAATCAAAGTTGCTTGTAATACTGGATGCTGATAGAATGACTTTATAAGGCTATGTGTATGCTAAAGCTTCCACTCCACAGAGTTGCTGATGTTGCAGTATTAAATCAGTCAGAATATACCTTGATTCCAGAAAACAACTGGGTGAGGTGCTAAAGTGAGTTTTTCCCAAAACCACATTTGGAACTGACACCAGATGGGATGTGATTTAAGATGTGTGTCTAACTGGGTTTGAAAGGCGCTCAAAGGCTCCAACCTGTGCTCTCTGCAAATCAGACAAATCTTTCAAGCACAGTTTTCAAAATGAGGCAAATTCTGTTTCAAAGCTAGGCATGAGCACGTTCAGCCACAAAGGAGGCACTGAGAGTGATGCAGAGATGACTTGTGCAGCCTGTGTGACACCTGCGGAGATTGTTCTCTGTCCTGGATCATCCTTGCATCAGTTGTACCTCAGAATCTGCAGTAAATCCAGGCAGAAACAGTGGAGTAAACATCAAATATGTCTGAGACTGTGTATTAGGTTGCCAACATAATAAAAGAAAGAAGTTGCTTTTCACATGATCACAACTTCCCAAAGCACTTTTACCAAATGGATGTCCTTTGAAAGACAGCCACTGATGTTACATAGACAAGTACAACAACAATAAATAATAGTGAGATAAATTATGAGTTACTGTGTCTTTAGACTTTAAGATCATAAGATATAAAGGAGCAGAATTAAGCCATTGTGCCCATCAAGTTTGCTCCACCATTCAATGACTGATATGTTTCTCAATCTCATTCTCCTGCCTTCTCCCCATAACTCTTTGATGATGTTAATGAAGAAGTGAACATTGACCAGAATGCTTCCCTGTTCTTCTGCATTTCTTTGTCAACAAATCTTTGACATCCACTGGATTGAACAGGTAAGGCTGTGGTTTCAACATAATGGCCATGAAATTGGTCTTCTTATCACCATGAGTTTCAGTGCTACAGATACCACCCAGAGAGTGGAGGAGAGGTAGAAGGCTGGGTGCCTTAAGCACCCAAAGTCTTCTCTAAATACTTCTTTCACCACACACGCCAACCTCCGTGGGCCCCCCATTCCACAGCCCCACCACCACTCCCAAACCAGGAACAGCTTGTGTGTTAGCTCAGTTTGTGAAGAAGGTGGTCACAGAGATTCCCCACCTTTTGAAAACTGACCTGGAGCCTTTGGGCACTGCAAACCAGTCTTGACATGAACTGTGAAGATAAGCATGACCAGGAATTTCTTTACCTGGGATCTTTCCAGGCTCATATATGTGTTATATTTAACCCTTTATATAATTACCTCTTACATAGTATTGATTCCTGCACAAAGAGGAGGCAGAGGCCCCTTACAGAAGGAGAGAGGAGTTCATTGACCAGAGAGAAGCAGGCTGAGTGCACTCTTTATCAGAAGACTGAACATCCCCGTTGTGCAAGGTATTCACTACTACATGGCTTTGAGGTTGCTACAGCTAAATATTCAGACGTGTTGCAGTTGTGAAGGTTATTGCTCTCCGAATATGCAACTGGATGGCTACAACATTCAGTGCATCATGCTGGTGACTGCTCGCTAACCTGGCAGCAGTCATGGTGCTTTCATTCTGTGCCAATACATTGTTCCAGCAATTCTTCAGCCAACCCATCATCTGCAAATTAACAACAATTCCCTCAGTTCCTTCATCCAGATCGTTAATGTATAATATGAATAGTTGTGGTCCCAACTCTGACCCCTGTGAAACTCCACTAGTCACTGGCTGCCATCCTGAAAAAGACCCCTATAGTCTTACTCTCCACCTTCTGCCAGCCAGCCAACCATCCATCTATGCCAGCATCTTGCCCCTAACATCATGGGCTCTTATCTAATTTAGCAGCCTCCTGTGCGGCACCTTGTCAAAGGCTTTCTGGAAATCCAAATCCATTGGCTCTCCTTTGTCCAACTTGCTTGTTACCTTGTTAAAGAATTCTAACAGATTTGTCAGGCATGACCTCCCTCTGATGAAGCTATACTGATTCAGCCCTATTTTACAATGCACTTCCAAGTACTCTGCAATCTCATCCTTGGTCCTTACCAATGACCAAGGTCAGACTAACCATTACATAATGTCCCATCTTCCTCTCCCTCCCTTCTTAAGTAGGGGTGCTACATTCTGAAGAAGGGTCCCAAACTGAAACATCAACTTTCCTGCTTCTCTGATGCTGCCTGGCCTGCTGTGTTCCTCCAGCTCCACATTGTGTTATCTCTGACTCCAGCATCTGCAGTCCTTACTATCTCGGGGAGTTACATTAGTCATTTTCCAGTCCTCTGGGAACTTTCTGACTCCAGTGATCCTTGAGAGATCATGACCAACGCCTTTACAATCTCCTCAGCTATCTCCTTCAGAAACCTGGGTGTTGCCCATCCAGTCCAGGTAACTTATCCACCTTCAGACCTTTCAGCTTCCACAGCACCTTCTCCTTATTGATGGCCACTACACTCACCTCTGTCCCCTTTACTGTCTGGAAGTTCTGGTATGCTGCTGGAATCTTCCATTGTGAAAACCGATGCAAAGTTCCTAGTCAGTTCCTTTGCCATTTCCTTGTCCCCAATTGTTACTTTTTCAGCCTCAGTTTCCAGTGATCCAATGTCCACTCTTGCCTCTCCTGTACCTTTCATTTATGTAAAATAGTTTTACAATTTTCTTTTATATTACATACTAGTTTATTGTCATATTTCATTTTCTCCCTGCTTATTGTATTTTTAATTCTCCTCTGCTGGTTTTTAAAGATTTCCCAATCTTCTGGCTTCCCATTAATCTTCACCAGATTGTATGCTTTTTCTTTTGCTTTTATGCTGTCTTTGTCAGCCATGGTTGCTTCATCCTCTCCTTAGTATGTTTCTTCTTCCTTGAGATGAATTTCTGCTCTGCCTCCCAAATTACCCGAGAAACTCCTGCCATTGCTGCCCCACCGTCTTCCCTTCTAGGCTTCCCTTCCAATCAACTCGGGGCCAGCTCCTCCTCATGTCTTTGTAGTTACCGTAACTCAATTGTACATCTAATTCCAGTTTGTCCCTCTCAAACTGCAGGGTGAATTCAATCATATTATGGTCACTGCCCCCTAAGGATTCCTTCACCTTAAGCTCCTGAATCATGTCTGCCTCATTACGCATCACCAAAATCTAGAATTGCCTGTTCCCTAGTGGGCTGTATCACAAGTTGCTCCAAAACAAATCTCATAGGCAGTCCACAAATTCCTTTTCTTCAGATCTGCTACCACATATAACTATTCTGTATCAAACAAACTGTACAAAACTCAACTAATCTCCCTTGTACATTCCCTTAGTGCCAGTCTCGTGGGTACATTTATCTTGGTGCTCCCAAGCACTGTTGCCCGCATGTCTGCAGCATGGTTGGTGGAAGACGGCCGATGTAAGGTCAGGGTGAGGAAAGGGGAGAAAGTGGTTACACCATCTGCACTTATGAAACAAAATAGATTGTGGGACAAAAGGGAAATGAAATGTGAGAAAGTGGTTGATGGGAACATGCCTTCATCCTCAAAGCTTTCAATTCCGCTTCTGACTTCACTCTTTCTTCTGGCCATACAGTTTGAGTGCATTGGGGGGAGGGTGAGAGGTCGTGCCCCTTGCCAGCTAAGTGCTGCTAACTTCATTTATAGACCACCTTAGCCTAGAAACAGGGAAAACTATTTCAATGAGTACAGTGGAATCTGTGTGGGTGATCCATTCAATAGCTGAAAGTGTGTGCAAACTAAGGGATGTGAGTGTGTGACTTGTAATGATGCTAAGTGTGAGATGATAAGCAGAGGTTCTGAATTTAAGTTATGAAATGTGGTTGATAACAATTGATTGTAGGTGGTGAATGAAGCAGTGTGTGGGCCTAGTGGTTTATTTGTAAGGAAATGGCATGCAAAGAGGTAATTATTGACCTGGACTGCTCTTGTGAGGTTTTTCAACTCCTTGCAGCACTGTATCCAGGTCCTCATAGCCAGGCTGCTGATATTGACCATGACCTCTGTCTGCTATTTCAGCCTTTTTAACATCTGTTTCGAGGGTCTGCTGCCCCTCCCCCTACATCCCCACCCCCAAGGGAATAGAACCTCCGGTCCTGTCCACCACCTTCCACTACAGCCTTCAGTGTGTAGAGTAAAGGGAATTCCCTCACTCTAAGTATAGCTTCTCTGCATATGCTAAGGACATCAGGTCATATTGAAATGGAGCCTGGGCCTTTAGTTCTCCTAGTAAGATCTCCTCTCTTACTGTCCTCTGTATATGCTCAATAAACCCTGTTGCTGCTCACCTGCAAGAGTGTAAATCTCATATCATTACATGATGGCAATGGAACCATATTACCAAGATGTGGCTGCAGGCTGACCATGGATGGGAACTGAATATTGAGGGGTATTTAGTTTTAGTAAGAACAGACAAGAAGTAAAGAAGATGGGATAGCATTTTCTGTTAGAATCATAGAGCCAAACAGCACAGAAACAGACCCTTCAATCCATTTCACCCGCACCGACCAGACATCTGACTAGTCCCATTTGCCAGCATTTGACCCATATCCCTCTAAACCCTTCCTACCCATATACCCATCCAGATGCCTTTTAAATGTTGTAATTGTACCCACCTCTGTTGGGCTATGCAGCACCGTAGTAACTACTCAAACTGAAAACCAAGGTGATGACAAAAAAAACTGGCTGACCAAAAATGGGATAACCACAACCATGTAGGAAAGTTAACTCAATCAGTACAACATTACAAGTTTTAATCAGAGGTCATGGTACCAGTCAAAGCTTTAAAGAACATTTTAATTTTTCCTCCAACAGTGGAAATAGCTACTTCTCTTATTGTCATGAAGAAAGAATAGATGTACAACATCTAAAAGGCATCTGGATGGGTATATGAGTAGTAAGGGTTTAGAGGGATATGGGTCAAATGCTGGCAAATGGGACTAGTCAGATGTCTGGTCGGTGCGGGTGAAATGGATTGACGGGTCTGTTTCCGTGCTGTTTGGCTCTATGATTCTAACAGAAGATGCTATCCCATCTTCTTTACTTCTTGTCTGTTCTTACTTATAGATGTGCTGAATAGCTGCTTACAAACCCATGCTTCCAAATGTCCCTGAATGCTGTACAAATAAGCTCAACATTATTGCATTCATCAGGGATCAAATCATTGTAAAGTTTCAGATGTTATGCTTCACTATTAAAACTATGCACAACTGCATGTTGAAAGTGCAAAATTCCTGTGTCACCAGCCTCTCCTTTCCTTTTGTCCATCTTCTTTAACCAGTTAGAGTAGGTTTATAGCAAATCCATAATTGATCTGGTTATGCCACCAGTGTTATTTACTAATTTCTGTTTAATTACTATTGCCGATAAAAGAGAGCATTAATGCAATAGTGAGGAAGGATATTAGCTCCAGTGAAATAGAATCTGTAAGGGTAGATCTTAGAAACACCAAGAGGCAGAAAATGACAGTCAATGTTATATACAGACTGCGAAACTCTAGAGGTAATATTGGGGAAGGCATTACAAAGAAAATTAGAGCTACAATCAATAAAAGTACAGCTGTAATTATGGATGATTATAATGTACATATTGATTGGACAAATCAAATCAGTAATAATATCACAGAGGAGGAATTCCTGGAGTGTTACGAGTTGGTTTTCTGGATCAATATAATGAGGAGCCAATTAGAGGGACCAGGCCATCCTAGACTGGGTATTGTGTAATGAGAAAAGAAGAATTGGCATTACAGTTGAGCATAATGCCTTGAGAAAGAGTGCCCATAATATAATAGAATTCTTCATTAAGGAGGAAAATGACATAATTGATTCTGAGACTGGGATCATGTATCTACATAGAGGAAACTAAGATGTTTTGAGGTGCAAGCTGATGATGATGAATTGGGGAACATTACTTAAAGAGATGGTGGTGGATAAACAATGACAAATATTTAAAGGGCACATGAAGAAACAACAACAATTGTTCATCACTATCTGACACAAAACTAAAACAGGCAAGGTGGCCCAACTACAGCTAAAAATGGAAATTTATTATTGTATTAGATCCAAGGAAAGGTCATACAAATCAGCCAAAAAGAACAGCAGACCTGACAATTGAGAGTGGTTTACATTTTGCACAAACCAGGACAAAGGGATTGCTTAAAGGGGAAATATAGAGTACAAGAGTAAGCTTGTGGGGAACATGCAAACTGGTGGTAAAAGTTTATTTAAGTATGCGCAGAGAAAAGAAATAGTGAAGACAAATGTAGTTTTCTTACGGTCAGAAACAGGGGAAGTTATATTGGAAAACAAAGAGGTTGATGACCAATTGAATACATATTTTGGTTCTGTCTTCAACAAAGAAGACAAAACAAGTCCCAAACTGTCTACTGTGAGCACATTGTCTAGTGAGAGAGATGAACCAAAAGAAATCAGTATTGGAAGGAAAACGTACTGGGGTTAAAGGCTGATAAATCCCTGGCCCGATAATCAACATTCCGGAACACTTAAGGAAGTGGCCTAGAAATATGGTGGAGGCCATCTTTCAAAGAATTCTATGGACTCTGGACTGGGGCTAATGTAATCCACTATTTAAAAAAGGAAGTAAAGGGAAAACAGAGAATTGTAGACGAATTAGCCCAACAGCAGTAGTAGGGACAATACTAGAGTCTGTTATAAAAAATTAATAGCAGAGCACTTGGAAAACAGTGACAAGATTGGACAAGATTTATGAAAAGGAAATCTTGCTTTCTATTGCAATTTTTTGAGGAATTAACTGGTAGAATTGATAAGGAGGAACCAGTGCATGTTGTTTACTTAGACTTTCAGAAGGCTTTCAATAAGGTCCCACATTAAACCACATGGGTTTCGGGGTAGTGTACCGACATGGATAAAGAACTGGATGGCAGACCGGAAGCAGAGTCAAACAAATGGGTGATTTTCTGAATGGCAGCCAGTGACCACTGAGGTAGTGCAGGGATAAGTGCTTGGACCCCAACTATTCAAAACATTTATTATTGATTTAGATGAGGAAACTAGATGTAATATCTCCAAGCTTGCAGATGACACAAAGCTGGGTGGGAGGGCAAACGGTGAGCAGGATGCAGAGCTGTTTCACTGTGATTTGGATAAGTTGAGTGAGTGAGCAAATGCATGGCAGATGAAGTTTAGTGCGGCTAAGAATGAGGTTATACACTTTGGTAGCAAAAACAGGAAAGCACATTATTTTCTGAATAGTGATTGATTGGGAAAGTAAGAAATGCAATGAGACCTGGGTATTTTTGTACATTTGTCACAAATAAATATATAGGTGCATTTGCCTTTTCCACTACCTGCTGCACCTACATACTTACTTGTGACTATTGCACTTGTTCAGGGCCTGATTGAGGCCACTTCTGGAGTATGCTGTGCAGTTTTGATCTCTTTATCTGAAGAAGGATGTTCTGGCTATGGAGGGAGGGCAACAAAGGTTTTCCAGATAGGTTCTTGGGATGGCAGTACTGGGTTTAAAGAGGGACTGGATCAGTTATGACTATATTCATTGCAGAAGAATGAGGGTGGTATCTCATAGAAAATTTTAAAATTCTAAGAGGACTGGACAGGCTAAATACAGGAAGGATGTTCCTGATAATGGAGAATCCAGAAACAGGGATTCACATTCTAAAGATATCGGGTTGGCTATTTGGCACTGACATGAGGAGAAATTTCTTCGCCAGGATGAGCCTACAGAATTCTCTGCCACAGAAAGCAGTTGAGGCTAAAACAATGAATGTTTTCAAGAAGGAGATTGATATATTTCATAGGGCTAAAGGGATCAAGGAATTTGGGATAAAAGCTGGAAGAGGTATCAATTTAGATGATTGAGTATAATGACATTGAGTGACAGAGCAACATGAAGCTCTGAATGACCTACTTCTGTTCCTACATTTCTTTGTTTCTAGACTGAAGAATTCTGGAATGTAATCCAGGAGAATGACGAATGTCATGCTACACCCAGACTACCCTTACAATTGCAAATAATCTATTGAAGCCAAAAGTAGGAACAGGAGTGAGTTACAAAATCAAGGCAAGATGACATTTTACTTTGATTAAATTGCCATCTCATTACCAAAGCTGAATATTGGGAGCCAATAAGAGTGCAAACATTCAATTCTCTCAACAAGACTCAGTCCACATGGCAACTTGGGTCCTATGTGGAACAATTGTCACTTCTATCATATGTGTGAACAATGAGCTATACTGCCATAACTGTAAACTTATACAGAAACTGCTCCCTCACTGCACACAGCTAAGGAAAATATGATATCACCAGCTACACAGAATGACCATCACTCCCAGAGGTGCACTGCTCCCCAACAAGGACATCGGATAAGCAACAACATTTACCATGGCAACAGCACTCACTACAAGAACAACAACCACAAGACGTGAAACATGACCCCAGGAATGGTCATACATCAGATAAGCGGCTAATGGCAATGCACATTGGAAGACCTGCATGAAGTAATGATTATATAGGCTATGCATGAGCAGAGACTGATGAAAGTGAAACTGACTAGAATCTACCAAGTTGTATTCATGAATGGTAACTTGTCTTGTTACCTACAAACATTGGGTAACTTAGGTATGTTGTAGCTGCAAAAGTAGTGCATGCATTTTTTAAGAAAATGAGACATAGAACAAATTGGATAGCTACTTTAAAGATTTGATACAATGTGGCAAATGTCTTCCCTGTAAATTACAAAGTTTCTATGAACAACAGGATACTGTCGGTATACAGGGAATGTCTCTATAGAAGTCTAAATTTCAGATACTCTGTACCTATGCTAACAAATATTGAGTCCTTTGTTTCTAATAAATAGCTGGCTAATCAATTGGGAAGCAATAAATGATTATTGCAGGTATACTGCCATTGCTTTTTCCCTCCATATTGCATTGTTTTTCTGAAATTATATTTCATATTACAAAGCTATTGTATTTCTAATGTTGTACAACTTACTCATGAATTCTGAAGTAAAACAGATATAATTTCCACTATTTTGCTACGAAGACACCAACGCTTAAAATCGGAATGCCCTGGGTTAATATGTGCAAGGTAGGAATATTAAACAAATGGTTGCACTAGTGATTTGTCTTATAATTGTGGTTGCAGTATTTATTTTTGTGCAAGTATTGGAGGCAGTGCAAAGAGCTTGCACATACTTGCATGTGTATTCATGCAGGTGTGTGCCCACAAGCAATGGATTATATTTGTATGTGTGGCTAGGAGTGGGCGCTGGGCAGGAAGTGAATGAGCGTGGGCTGCTTAGTGTTTAAGCTGAGTCCTCTAAATGTACAAGAACTAATTTGGGAAAGAAAAATACCCAAAACCCAGCAAGACCATAACTCTTAATATGTTTGTTGTGTCAGCTGCCTATGTCCTGTTTGCTTAACAGGGAGTCATTGAAAGATATTGTAAATCTCTGGCAGATTTATACAAGATAACCTACAAGACATTCCAATTCAAATTTGCACAGTAGCAATTAAGACAATGAGGCACAAGTTAAATGAATGTTTCTCAGTCTCAGAACAGGACTCAGAATTACTGCATACATAGTGGTAGATTTCTCATTATTTGAGAAAATCCAAACTAAGAGATTTTAATATTTTTTTCTTCCACGGGACATGGATGTCAACGGTAAGGCCAGAAGTTGTTGCCAATCTTCTAATTACCCTGGAACTAAATTACTTGTGATGCCATGTCAGAGAGCAGTTTAAAATTCAATATTACAGCTGTGGGCTTGGAGTCACATGTAGACCAGACCAGATTTCCAAACAGATGTCCTTTCCTGAAGGAGATTAGTGATTTTCTTTTCATATGACAATCAATGATAGTTTCATGGTCTTCATTACTGAATCCAGCTCTCAGTTGCAAACTTTATGAATTGAATTTAAGTTCTGTGGCAGAATTGATGCCAGTGCCCAAGAGAATTCGCCTACATTATTAGATTTTGCCCTCGCTGGTTCCTCAAAATCAAGCATTTTTGTCAAGACACTGCCATGACTTGAAAGGAATAATAAATTGCAAGCAATGTGAAACAGGTCATTGATTCATTATAGCCCATTTTGTGCTACTGCACAATATCAAAATTATTCCATTTCGTGTAACATTCCAATTATTTAACATGAAAAGGTGTGAATGATTTCAACCCTCACCAACTAATGGAAACTAGGCACTGGGAGAGGACAGTTTCTGATTTTAACCTGCTCGATTTGAGAAGATAAAAGAACTCCTGGCCAAAGATGTCAGAATCCTTATGCACATACACACATCAGATACTAGTGATATCGTCAGCAAATAACTGCAATTTTACCTCAATGACTTGGACAAGAATCAAGAATAAGTTTCCTGCCAGGCCCAGATTTCAGCAAGAATCCTTAAAGGAGAAAATGGAGTAACTTGACCTGTGAAGCCTACAAAAAATCCATTGCGGTCAGAATCATCCACTAGTGCATCCAAACCAAAACAAATCAATTTCTGTTCAGTTGATTATGTCCACCTAATAGATGCCACAGTCAGTCTAAAGGGAGACCCAGTCTTCGAAAACCACACTGAGTGGAGGGAGATTAAAGCAGTTAGCCTCAGAAACATCAAGTAGAGCTAATTTAAACTCACAAAATATGCTTGAAGCTTTCCCCACATATTCCACCAACTCCTTGTCTGCCGAATGTTTGACAAGAGAGAGTCTCGTTGCCAGGCTGTTAGACACTTCCTGGTTCTGCTCCAAATCTAACATTCCGAGCAGCAATTCATAGTGAGACCACAAACTAGATTCTCTCAGACTTGTTGCCTGCTCATTAGACTTGCTCCAAAAGCTCCAGTGAGATGCACTAACCATCCAACTCTCACTACTAATCACAAACAGTTGCATTCTCTTTCATTGAAAAATTCCATCCGAAATCATTTCTGAAATATAAGCAAGGATCAGAGCTAAATGAACTGAAGGCTAAATGGAACATGCACTGGACCAGTTAGAGAGGAATTTCAATCCAATAAAACCTTCCCTAGGGCCAATGACAAATACATTTCTGAAGAGAGAATGCACAAAGAGAAGACAGAAGAGCACCGCAATATGTGTATTGTAGCCCAACCATATCCACAGAACAAATTTCCTAATCCCCTTACACTTGTGGCTGACGACATCCCAAAGTCCTCCGTAAAACCAATCGCATTCTAAAGAACCTAAAACTACCTCACAGGCGTGTTAGCACTGATTGATTCACTGCAACCAATTTTCCGAACTGTAAGTACCAATTCATGGCAGTTTGTAATACACATCAGACAAAAATAGGAGGGCAGTCTGTAATGTCAGACTTTCTCCATGTTTTGCTGTACATTTAAGGGGCCAGATAAAAAAAGAAACATTTTACAGAACACATAACCATCCAATTTTCACTTTATGTGGCTACAGTGCTCTAAGGCTAACAGTATGACTAACAGTTCTGCTCTTACTTTGAGTGAGTGCAAGTTTGAGAAATAATCATATACTTTCCCATCAAAGTTTTAAAAAATATTTGCACGTGGAAACACACCAAAGTTCACCACGGGAAACACACCCTGCACAGGGCTAATGCAGATAGAGAATTAATTGTAGTAATAAACCCTTACAAATAGTTGTGCAAGAATCTTAGATATCACATCAGTGTCAATTGTATCCCCTTAACTTATCAATGGCATTGAATCTTATCAGACCTAGAATGAAATCCAAGCATTTCGGTTACACTTGACTGGGGAGATCCAGAAGAAAGAGTATTGTCAAAATAAGGAGGAGACCATGTGAGATGAGAAGGAATTTCTTCACTCAGACAGTGGTGAATCTTAGGAATTCTATAATCCAGAGAGCTGTAGAGACTTAGTCATTGAAAGTGTGTAAGTTAGGGATTGATTGATTTCTAGATATTAAAGACATCAAGGGATATGAGGAAAATGGCATTGAGGTAGAAGATCAGCCATAACATATTTGAAAGGAGGAGCATATTCAATAGACTGAATGGCCTGCTCTTGTTCCCATTTCTTATATTCCTATTATGTTCCTGTGCCATTATGTGAATTTTCTCACTGTTCCTTGTGCCAGCTTTACATGTTGTTATAAAAAGACTAGGAACATTAATACAAAGAAGATGGCTCCTGAAACGTTGTCTGCTAATTCTTAACGGAATAGCTGACCTATCTTCAGCTATTTCACCAACGTCCTTCCCTCCATCATTAGGTCAGAAATGGATGCTTGCCAATAATTGTGCAATGTTCAGCACTTTTGGTCCTTTATTCCTTTATTCATTCGCGGGATGAGGGTGTCACCGGCTAGGCAGCATTTATTGCCCATGCCTAATTGCCCAGACAGCAGTTTGGAGGCAACTACATAGCTGTGGGTCTGGAGTCACAGGTAGACCAGACCAGGTAAGTAATGGCAATTTCCTTCCCTAAAGGACATTAGTGAACCAGATGGGTTTTTCCCAACAATCAACAATGGTTTCACAGTCATCATTAGACTGTTAAATCCAGATATTTATTGAATTCAAATTCCACCATCTGCCATGGCACAATTCAAACTTGGGTCCCCAGAACATTATCTGGATCTCTGGAATAACAGTTTGGTGATAATACCACTAGGCCATCACTTCCCCATGAATCTTCAAATAATGAAACAGTGTGTGCCTGCATGCAACGAGAACAATAATCAGATTTGAGCTAATAAGTGGCAAGAGCAGTTGCACCACATCAATGTCAGACAATGACCATCTTCAACTAGCCAGAAACTAACTAGCTTCCCTTGACATTCAATGGTATCACCATTAAATCAACCATTCTCAATATCCTGGACCAGTAAGTGAACTAATCCTACAACGTAAATGCTGCAGCTGCTGGAGAATGTGAGAAACTGGGTGTTTCTAGGTAAATGTCTCATCTTCTGACTCCCTAAAGACTCTCCACATTCCTGGATATAACTACAAAAAACATTTTAAAAGCTCAATATCACCCAAGACAATGGAGCTTGCTTGGTAAACAACCTTTTCACCTGCTTAAACATACACACACTCCACCACTGGTGCATTGTGTTGTCAAGGCTTCTTCAGCAGCATTTTGAAAACCCAGGATGTCTACTATTTAAAAGGACAATAGTAAAAGGCATATGGCCATCACTTCCATGCCCACTTCAAAGTGACACAATGTCCTGTGTTGGACATATATTCCATTCCTTCATTGTTGCTGGAACAAAATCTCAAAACTCATGACCTAAGAACACAATGTAGCACCTTCCCTGTAATGGTTCAAATATAGGTTAACTACCACTTTCTCTAAACAATTCGAGATGGGCAATAGGAGCTGCTGTGGTGAGTGGTGCCCATTTCCTGGAAAATATTCTAGAAAATGAATTCTCTTACATTTTCCTGGACAGCAAATTAAAGCAAGACAAACCCTGGGTAATTAGCATTGATCAAAATGTGCAAAATTGTAGTCGTGAGTGGGAAAGTATACAATGAAAGTGATCTAGTGAATACATTGCAGCCTGTATCCAGGACAAATTCACCCAAGTTAGGAACGTACACAGGCTCGCTTCCATTTTGGTCTTTATAATTATAAATGTCTACATCACTATCAGACCTCAATGATATTTAAATGAATTATCCCTGATTCCAGTAGTTGTTCAAAAAAGCATCAATACTCCTCTATAATCATTGCACAGCTATGCTAATGTTGACTCTTAACTAGCTCTACCTTATTGGACTGACACATTGACTTACAGTAACAAACAGAAGTCTGCCAATGACTGCTCTATTGCAATTTATTTTTTTGGCTATAACCCAAACTGCAAATTCTGCAATCTGACAATGCAGTCGTTATCACTCTCAAATAAGCTGTAGCTTCTCAACATTAAATAATGTCAAACACAGATGGAAGAGGATTAGTCGCTTCAATGCAAAAA